TTGGATTGTTGCTGTTGTAATTCAGGATTTGGTCTGTGTAAGTTGATTGGCTATAAACTTGAGTTTCTAATTCTCCTGTGGTTGTTCGCCTGACTAAGACGTCCAGAAATGGTATTTTGTTCTCGGATTCCTCTTCCCTCGTGAATTTGATGTCGTTGAAGACGTTGTTTATTAAGTTGTGAGTTTTATCTAATTCGTTTCTTTTGATTATTACAAATGTGTCGTCGACGTAGCGCAGCGTATCCAAATCTTGGGTTTGATCTTTGGTAGAATTATATTTTCGAGTCTTTGCATCACTGCACTGCTTCTGCAATCAAACCTGATATTGGCGATCCATCATCCCATGGGTGTTCCTTTGACTTGTTCATATATTTGGCCGTTGAATTGGAAGTATGTTGTTAGGCATAGATCTATGCATTCCATCCAGCTTGTGTGTTGCATTTTTGATCGTTGTGCGAGGGGGTGTTCGTCATTGCTAAGTAATTGCTCCATGGTTTCCTTTGCTAGTTTTTGTCCCATGGAGGTATATACTGCTGTCACGTCGAAGGATATCATTATTTCTTGTCCATCTATTTGGATGCCTCTGATTTTCTCTAGGAATTGGATAGCAGAGTTGATGGAGTGATCGCAAGATTCCGTTAGGTGTTTCCAAATTTTGATAACACATTGAGACAACAGTTAGACAGCCACTGGAAAACTATAGTCAGTGCTGGACAGCTGTTTCATTCTAGTTCGAAACTCATCAACATTGGGGTTTGCAAACTTGCCTTGTAACTGGAAAGTCGTGTGTTCGAACCTCCATGGGTGAGTATTACCGATTAATCCGAAAAATAGGACAATAGAGACAGTTGTCTGGTAGTACTCCCTATGGCTGGTTTTCCAACGCTACAGAGAAATCAACAGGATATGAGACGACGACTAACAGAGATTCAAACAGCAACTCTGATTCTTATCAGAGTACCGTCAATATTATAAAAATCATGGAAATGAGTCAGTACACACAAGTCCTGTTCACACGTAGAACTGCAAACCAACAGTATAACATTTACAAGGATTTAATTTGAGACCATTGGTGAATCTCAGATAGAAATCTGTTCATATCAGAAAAATTCGGTGCAGAAACTACTCGGACGGAAGTAGTCAGATCACTAGTGACTGGCACTAACTATTCAGGCAGGCAGCTTCCCACTAGAACCTCTAGCAGGAAGTCGTGACCCTTAGGCTAAACAACAGGTCGAAGTTGACGACGGTGAACAATCGAAGACATTGTTAAGTGGTTCTCCCTATGTCATACGTGAATTGGCAGAAGTTAGCATTCATGAACTGGCTGGCTGCACATTGGATTCTGTCACAGTGAGGGGGCTACTAAATGGTCTATGAGCTACCTCACCTTGCAACAAGAGTGTTGTGTGCTTGAACTCCAGTGTGGGTGTGTGGGTACGTACTGAAGAAGAACCAGTCCAGCTCAAACCAGGCTGAGGAAAAACAGTTGTCTATGGCTAGTTTGCCAGTGGTTCTCTAACTAATATCAATCAATCAATCCGTGGTCAAACTCAGAATTTTCAAGTATTGGTTTTGTAGGGATTTTGTTTGATCGCATGGAGGATTTAATCATGAGCTGACATCAGTTAGAGAACCACTGGAAAACCTGCCACAGGGAGTACTGGACAGCTCTTTCGTCAGCCTATTTTGGGACTATTCAGCAGTAGTACACACCCACCGGGGTTCGAACCCAGGACCACCTTCTGGTTACAAGACGAGCTCGTAGACCATTGAGCCACTGGGACCCGATCCAATGGGAAGCCGTGACCAGTAGGGTACAGCAGGTCGAAGATGAGGCAGTAACTCACTCATCGAAGAAGACATTGCGAAGTGGTCGTGCTATGTCGTGAACTGGCAGAAGTTACAGTTCAAGAACTATTGGATCGGGTCCCAACGGCTCAATGGTCTACGAGCTCGTCTTGTAACCAGAAGGTGGTCCTGGGTTCGAACCCCGGTGGGTGTGTACTACTGCTGAATAGTCCCAAAATAGGCTGACGAAAGAGCTGTCCAGTACTCCCTGTGGCAGGTTTTCCAGTGGTTCTCTAACTGATGTCAGCTCATGATTAAATCCTCCATGCAATCAAACTCAGAATTCACCTAGTACTGATAACAAAATCTAAATGGAATAGGCCTCATATACAAAATCAACTTATACAGAATAGTGGGATATTCAACAACACAACACATATACTGAATTGAATTTTTGATTTTCCAGATGACGAGTCCCAAAAAGGACGAAATGTGCATCCTTGATTCCACTGCTAGCCACCATCCACCAATTGTATACAACACACACACACATGTTTCGTCAACACATTCCAAATATCTCTCCAGGGAAGCATGCAATGTTTACACATTCAGTTAGGAATTTTAATTTGATTCCCATATTAAATTGTACACGGTGTTTTTTTTTAATTTTAAACATATGCTTTCCCAAATAATTCGAATGAGGAAAAATATCCCAAGCAAAATATTTTCCACCTCTTACCGGTTTTATTTTCATATTTGATTACAGTTTATTCTAATGAATTATTTTGCGATTGAATTGAATTAACAAAGAAACTAATGTTAATTGGTAGAATCATATTGTGTTTTCCATGTCCTTACGAGGACGTTTTTTTGTCACAATGAATCATCGTACTGAAGTTTCTGCAGCAGCTTTGTTTACAGGGTTGAGTGGCTAACGTCATGCCTCTTTATCTTAACTTAATTGACTTTGGACAGGCTTTCGATAGCTCAGTGTTGATTGAGTGGTGATTTGACAACTACTCCACTACTATAGGGTGTCGCCAACTTTTATTTACACCTCATCCAAAAATTGTACGATAAAGTTGGATGCCAAGTAATCCATAGTGGGGAAACTCACAGAATCATTCGAAATGAAGACAGAAGTAAGACAAGGCTGGCTGGCTGGCTGGTTGCCTATTACTAGCTTCGATGATTAATTTCCTGACTGTGATAGACTGACTGGATATTGCGACAGACACACAGCGGCCAACGATGGGACAGGCATAAAATGGACCCACATGAAAACAACTTGGAGGATCCGGATCGGGAATTCCATAACGACGTATGTTGATTTCCCATAAACTGAAAGATGATGTACAAGTGAAAAGCAACAAGTTGATGGTAGAAGGAGTATCTAGAGAAGATACGATTTCAGGTGAACATGGAGGAAGAAGAGGTGATGATGAAGATTCCTGGCCGACAGCAACAACAACAGCCATAGCCACAGCAATAGCAGCATCAACAACAGACAACAACAATCAGCCAGCATAAGTGGGAGGAATCGGAAAGAAACAACCTCCTTCACCTACCTACCTACCTATCCACCTGGGAAGCATCGTTTCATCTTCAGACAGATGGAACTGATGAGGTTATCAAGGCACACCGATCGTGAAAGCAATGCAAGCTTTCATTTCACTCATCAGGTCTGTGTGGAGATGAATTCGCAACTTCAATGTGAAGTCACTACTACTCACTACTCAGTATTCTGATCAGAGAGAGACTTGTCGCCTCACGAAGGCCACTTCAAACAAACACCACACCTTCATCAACAACTGTCTTCGCTCAATAGTCAAGATCAGATGAAGAGAAAACATCAGCAGCAGGCAGGATTCTCTGGCAGCAAACCAACCAGGAGCCGATTTATGAAAGAAATAAGCAGGAAGAGATGAAGGTGGATTGGATTGGTTTGTGTCCATACTCTGAGAAAACAAGTCATCAATTGAGTGACATCACACGCCTGGCTCTCTCTCTCTGTCGAGTGGAACCCGCACGGGAGGCGGGGAGTTAGTTAGTCGTGATCGTTCGTGTGAGAGTGACATGTAGGAGGAGTCGGCGGCGGCGGCGGCGGAGGAGGTTATGCGAAGACAAGGTTAATGCGTGTGGGAAGACGTGTAGCCAGGTGAGAAGACGTTGTCGGAGAACTTTGAAAGCAATGTAGGCGTGCAGTTGAAGTCCTATGTTCCTCTAGGAATTAAAGGAAACAATTATAATATTCAAATAATCGTGTTTCCAATTTCCGTTGTCTACAACACAATGTTTATTGCTAAATCCGTAGGTGTTAATGCACCAGACAACTCTCCAGTAGGTCTATTAAAGCAGCTTACTCTGCAACTATGATGTTTATATGAGAACGCGTTCACAGAGCAACTAAAAGTTATGGAATCTTTCCGAATGTGTAAATTTCTAACATTTACGGAATCTTATCTGTCTTGGTTGCAATAAAGTTGAAGACTGTTAATTAACGATAATATTTAAGTCTCAAGAATAATTTTATTTTCAAAATCTTCAAAAAGAAGAAGACAAATCAATACGTGTTCAACAGGGTGTTTCAACTAAAATCTAATTCCTAAACACCATAATTCTGAAAAGCTATACGTCTAATCATAAAAAAATCTAGATACAAACAGTTTGAACGGACGTAAAGATGTGATGTGTGTGTTAGCTGAGGCATGGCAAATCCTGATTAATCAATAAGATGGTGTACCGCTTCGACCAGTGTTAGATATGTTAAATTCGCCATACCATCCTGTAGCCAAATGGCTAGTCGAAATCTTACAGCCGCTTCATACGGAGTTAGTGAAACACAGTGTAAAGGATACTTTCGGATTTGTGGAAAGGATAAAAGATTTAAGTGTTGACAATAAATTCATGATATCATTTGACGTATCTTCCTTATTCACCAATGTACCACTTATGGAAACAGTGGACTTTGTATGCGAAGAACTTAAACGACGAAACATCAATGTCGGCATTCCTATATCATTTGTGAAAGAGCTTCTCTTGAAATGTACAATGAATGTCCACTTTTTATTTAATAAGGAACTATATAGACAAATTGACGGTGTGGCAATGGGGTCACCACTGGGACCCATTCTAGCCGACATTTTCCTTGCGAAACTAGAAAATGGGCCTCTGAAGGATGTTATTAGTGAACTCGAATTTTATTGTCGGTACATGGATGATACTTTTTTAATTATGAAAAACGAGAAGGAAGCAAAGAGCATCCTGGATAAATTTAACGAGGTACATACTGCAATAAATTTTACCATCGAGACAGAAAAGGAATCTAGTATTCCATTTTTAGACGTTTTTATGACCAGAAAAGAGGATGGCTCAATAAGAAGAAGTGTTTATAGAAAACCTACATCAACGGGCCAGTACACACATTTTCTCAGTTTTGTGCCCTTGAAATACAAACGCAATTTGATAAAGTGCCTGGTTCACAGAGCAAGAGCGATTTGCTCGGACGAATGTCTTGATGAAGAACTGAATAATATTAAACGGTTGCTAAGTGAGAATGGTTATCCTGAAAAGTTTATTGATAAGAATATGAATTTGAAACCAAAGCAGCCGAAGTTACCAACAGTTCCAAAAAAGGCCTTATTCTTTCAGATGCAGTTCCTTGGGGACAACACTAGCGAGATACTAACACAGCGTATTAGAAATGCGGTAAAACGAGCATTCCCTGCTGCTGAATTACGTTGTATCTTTAAGACTACTTCTCTTCTGCGTTCGGGAGTAAAAGACAAACTGCCTAATTTCGCCTCATCCATGTGTATCTACCAATTTAATTGCTCCTGTGGAGCCAGTTACATAGGCCGCACAATTAGGCGTGTTTCTCGTCGAATTTCCGAACATCACCCTGCGTGGTTAAGCAAAGGCCAAACAAAATCTATCCGTAGCGCTATTTTGGCTCATCTGGTGGATACAGAACATAGGATTGATGTTAACCAAGCTTTCAGAGTTATTTATCGGATACCAACAAATCTCAACTTCGCCTTAAGAGTTCGATTACTAAATATTGCTGAGGCTGTTGGGATCCACATTAAAAAGCCTAATTTGTGCGTCCAAAAGAAGTTAGTTCAGACGCTGTCCCTACCTTGGCCATCTAGGTTTGAATGATTCTCAATTTTCGTGAAAATTTCCTAATTTTAGTTGATATCCTACTCGCTATTATATCTTTATTACTATTATAATTTAAGTATTTTTAGTGAACTGTAATTGCATTGATCCTGCTTTACAAATCGATATTATTTAAAAAACACTAATATTGTTATTAACTACCAACCTTGAATATTCTGTGTATATAAACATGTATATAATTGTAGAGCCAGAAGAGGAATTTATCGAAAAGAATATTCTTTGCTCGATTTTGTTGTGTTTTATAAATTGATATGTATCACTAATTAATCATATTTGGTCTAAAATTCTCAATTGTCTACATCTTCGTATGAAAAGGATAACAAATGTTTAACAACTGTCAGGAGACACATGAATGCCAAGTACAATAAAGAAAAACCGACAACAGTTGAAAAGAAACAACTGTTCATGAAACTGCAATTTAATGGGGACGTGGCTAGTGAAGTCTTACATCAGAGATTATCGAGAGAGATAAAACGGACTTATACTGCCGCCACCCTCTGTTTGTCATTTTCCAGCTGGCGACCAATTTTGATTGCTCAAGTGAAAGATAAGCTACCTAGTTGTGCCAATTCCATGTGTATCTATAAATTTGGTTGTTCCTGTGGAGAAAGCTATATAGGCCGAACAACTAGACAGCTTAACAAACGCATTAATGAGCATCTTACACTTCATGGTTCGCAAAAGGTCAAATAAAATCCATACGAAGTTCTATTTCGCCTTATTTGATTGATAGTGGTCACCAAGTGGACAAAAATAGTGCCGCCTTCAAAGTTATTTACCGCATTCCATCGAGTCTTTCGAACGGAATCAGAACCCGTTTTTTACACTTCACCGAAGAAGCTATGGGAATTAATTCGAGAGAACAATCCTAGTCTTTGTATACAAAAGAAATTTGTTGTTCTACCTTTGTCTCTCCCTTACTTAGCCTCGATGAATTCTATTCAAAACCCTCCCACCCTTTCTTATCATCCCTCTCCTTCGTACTTCTATGATATTTAGTGGTGGATGGTGGCTAGCAGTGGAATCCAGGATAAAGCGCGTTTCGTCCTATTTGGGACTCGTCAGCCACTGGATGTACCTGCATTTCTCAGTGAGTGATGATGTTCCCACCGAGGCTCGAACCCAGTACCCACAGTTTCAAACGCCAAAGCGTTATCCACTAGACCACTTGGGCCAGTTGTATACTAATTAAATACCATGACATCGTCGAAGCATCTGCACAAAAAGCCGACATGTCAACCTGAGACCGAGCACTTCGGTCCAATCTATCGACGGGAAAATTAAAAAATTCAATAATTCTATGATATTTATTTAAACTCTGATTATCGTTCCATTTGATTTGACCTAATTTATTTATTTATTGAATTGTCTACATATATGCATATACTAACTTTGTTATTTTTATCGCCACTTGCATAAGCCTTATTATCAATATTTTGTTATCATTATAATCATCGTGATTAACTTCGTTCAAAACATTTACCACATTATTATTATTATTATGGTTATTATCATTTGATCCATAAAATCACCGTCATTGGTTAAAATTTTATACATATAAGTCTATGTAAATTAGAGTAAAGCCTGAGGAAGGGGATCTAATTGAAAACAACAATATTGTTCGCTTATATCTCTTGTTTACCTATACACACAACATGGTATACAGAATAAACACAGATATTTTCATATTCAGTTATCTATGACCATGAACTTTTAGTCGAACGTAATCACTAAAATAGTGATGCAAAAAAGTAGACTAATATTTGTAAGAAGGCTGAGATCAAATTTTGATCACACCTCACACAAATTTGTTTGTTTATTATGCATTTTGATGCCTCCCTTATGTTAATTTCGATTAATCTCCCCGAAGAAGTTCGCTCAAGATTGCGCGGAATATAGAAAACATTGGAATTACTCATTTCAATTTCTCTGAGATTTGACAAATGTCTACTTCTCACTCGGCGCTCAATCATTTTGGAACTCTAGTCGGTCAAATCTTGATCACAGGTCATATGAATTACAAGTTATACACGTTTCATGTAAATAAGGTGAATGTGAAAGTTAGTTAGTCAGTCAGTATTCTAAATTCTAAGATAATGGTATCTGCCAACAGAAAACGAAATGGAATTCTACCGGTTACAATACGACCTAGTAGACTATTCAGTCACTGCGATCCTATCCAGTGGCTAGCCGATGAATTCCAATTCGTCATTTATTTGAAGGATTTCATCATTAACTGATGTCGTTTGGTTGGAGAACCATTGGAAAACCAGTCATTGGGAGTACTGCTAGACAGGTGTTTCTTTGGCCTTGTTTCAAAATGGCTCTTGATCACTAGGCACTCACCACAGTGAGGCTGGAACTCATAACACTCTGGTTACAAGGTGAGCGAGGTTAACGACTACTTAGCAGCCACTCATTGCCACCCAACCCGATCCAACGGCCAACCAGCCAGTCCACGAATTCCAACTCCTGCTAATTAACGGCACAGCGTAAGACAACTAGCAAATGTCTTCGACGAGTGTTTGTCCTCAAATACGAACTGCCATACCCTACTGTTCACGGCTTCCTACTGGATCCCTAGGTAATTACCCACCTGAATAGGGCTATTCGCTTGTGAGCATTTCATTGATATTCAAGTATTGGCTTTGTAGGGATTCGATTCGTTTGGTTGGAGAATTTCATCATGAGCTGACACCATTTCGAGAACCATTGGAAACCAGGCACACAGAGAACAGCCAGCCAGCTGTTTCTTCCGCCTCTTTTGGGAATCACTGTCAGTAAGCACCCACTACACTGGGTTTGAACCCAGGACTTTATGGTTACAAGGTGAGCTAGCTCGTAGACCAGTAAACCAAATTCGTGACTTATAATATAGAGCAAGTCCCAGCCAATGATATCAGCAAAGTCAGCACCCTCTTACCCAACTTGATGGACTCTGCTAGTCAAAACGTCTCACTAGAACTCCAAGGAACTTCTTGCATACAGCCAGTCACTTGTGAGCATCAGATTAATCTGTAAGTGTTGGTTTGTAGGTAGTTGATTGATTACAGGTTTGATTATGAGCTTTTATCAGTTAAAGGAGTGTTGCATTGAGTTACAATGACCGTATGGTAGGTATATAAGCTCGCTTTTTAACCACAATGTTTTGCGTTCGAAACCCCGGTAAGTATGTACTGCCTAAGAGACCCAAACTTGGATGAAACAGCTGTACAATACTCATGGTTTTTCAATGACGTTATAAATGAATTCACCTTGAGACTGAATCTATAATTAGTCAAATCGCTTCCTTCGTCTCTGAATGTGAAAGGAAACAGTGTTTTGACATGTTTCATAATGTCGGTGGGGTGTTTCTCGCTAAAATCATGTCATATCAAAATACTAGTGTCCAATGAGACGCTTAACACATTCAGTATCTAATCAACTAAGTTTCATTGTATGAAGGATATAATCATGAGCTGATATCAGTTAGAGAATCACTGGAAAACCTGCCACAGGGAGTACTGGACAGCTCTTTCGTCAGCCTATTTTGGGACTATTCAGCAGTAGTACACACACACCGGGGTTCGAACTCAGGACCACCTTCTGGTTACAAGACAAGCTCGTAGACCATTGAGCCACTGGGACCCGATCCAATGGGAAGCCGTGACCAGTAGGGTACAGCAGGTCGAAGATGAGGCAGTAACTCACTCATCGAAGAAGACATTGCGAAGTGGTCGCGCTATGTCGTGAATTGACAGAAGTTAGAATTCAAGAACCATTGCATCGGGTCCCAATGGCTCAATGGTCTACGAGCTCGCCTTGTAACCAGAAGGTGGTCCTGGGTTCGAATCTCGGTGGGTGCCTACTGCTGAGGAGTCCCAAAATAGGCTGACGAAAGAGCTGTCCAGTACTCCCTGTGGCAGGTTTTCCAGTGGTTCTCTAACTGATGTCAGCTCATGATTAAATCCTCCATGCAATCAAACAAAATCCCTACAAAACCAATACTTGAGAACTAAGTTTCGATTGATTTATTGATTCTGCTAAGTTTTCACTTTTGAAGATGCGAACAAAAATAATGACCTGGTTTGAAAAGGTGGGGACGATTTTCTCCACGGTATAATTGAGAACATATACACTATCGAAGGTATGCATTTGTTGTTCATTTTGTCAATGGGTAGTATTTCGACAAATGGACTTCAAGAATGGGATAAACGGTAGTCAGTAGATTTGTTTAACTGTTCTCATGAAAACGATTAGAGAATTCCTGGAACCTGAGAATTACTCAATATTTGTGTCATCATGGTTCTAGGCTCTTCAGAAGTGCGTTCCGATAAGGGATTTGAACAGAGGACATTCCGTGTACAATTCATCTCCGTAGCCCATTCAGTCAGGAAAGTTAGAAACACAAATATGTAGAAAATCAAGGCAAGCACACACATATATATTATATCCTTTAATTCCTAGAGGAATATAGGGCTTCAGCCACGCGTCTTTATTACCTTCTGTTTTCTGACAACTTTTTGACCCCGCTCCAAGTCTGCCCACATGCTTTCATCTCCTCTTCACATCACCTCCTCCAAGTCACCCTCACACTGACGACCAACTCGCCACCCGCTTCCCTTTCGGCCGGGTTCCACTCGAGCATTGGCTTGTCTGGTGATGTCACTTGATGGTTTCCTCAGAATATGGCCAGCCAATCCACCTCTATTTCTTCCTGCGTATTTGTTTCACAGTCGGTTCCTGCTGTGTTGGTTCGCTCACTGCCAGAAATCCCCGTTGCTGATCTTTTCTGGCCGGCCGGCCATCTGATCTTGAGTATTGAACGAAGACAACTGTTGATGAAGGTCTGAAGTTTGTTGGAGATGCTCTTTATGACGCGCTGTCCAAGTCTCTGATCCGTAGAGTGAGTAGCACTGACTGACTTCACATTGGAGTTGAAAATCCGGATCTTATTTTTGATGGTCAGTGCTGAGTGTTAACCTCCACACAGACTTGAGA